ATCAGGTCATTCATTGCAGGTTCTAATAAATCCATTCAAAATAAGTTTTCTAGCTTGGTTACATCAGAAATTGCTTTTAAGAATTATCAATAACATACCCGAAAATTTGCATTTCTTTACATTTTTACATTCAAATTCGGCCGGACCTTTGATTTCCGCCTTTAGCCAATCAGATAGATCTAATACAAATATTAAATTCTTATTACTGAAATATTTGTATACTAAACTATCTTTGAATAATATAACGACGTACCGATAGAACCACTTTTACCACAAAGCATTTCCCCGACTACACACTCGCATTTAATTTTTTGACATTTATACGATGTAATATTTTCGTTAGTTGTAACATCGTCACTAAATGAACACTCATTTAAATGACAATAAAATGATTCTGTTTGATTGATCCAAACTGTAATAAAAATTTCAAAAAAATGAGTGAAAATTGAATGTGATAATAATTATACGTAAATGAACGAGGATATTTACACTGAAAATCGCAATTTGCGGTTGTGCTATTACAAGAAAAAGTAACCTGAGGAGGTTGATCAGGAAGCATGTCTAAAATCTTCCTATCTAAAAAATCCAAGTGAATAATTCAATTAGAAAAATTTGATAATATAAAAAGCAATAATAGATAATGATAATTATAGCACCTACTTTTTACATCGCACATCTGAAAATTTTCATGTACAATAAGCCCTCCCTTATAACAAGTACCATTCATTCCTGTGGCCACCATACTATCGCAAGCCCTATCGGCATTACAGACTGTAGTATAACATGAAATTTGTCATTTTTAAAAGAATGTGAAAGAAAGAATATATGATATTTGATAAATTACAATATACCAACCATTGCAATTGATTCCTCCCCATCCTTCAGAACATTTACAGAATTTATCTGCCTCACGAGCTTTACGATTGGATCCATCAGCCAAGGAATTACACGCTAAAAAAATAATTTAGAAATTTATTATTAGACCACACCAAATAAAATAGTATCGTTTACCAAATGTGTAAACCTTGAACAGTAATGTACATCCCACGTTGACAACACGTGTGAACTCGTGTTCAACCCTAACCTTATATATAGGATGAATCAGTAGAAGCCCAAGTAAGTTCTTAAAAATTACTAAGATAATTTTAGGTTCAACCGATTCATCCTGTTTTATGAAAAAAACTGTTTAAAAAAAAATCCCGAATTAAAACAAACGAAAAAAAAATACCTGGTAATGAACAGTCGTTACCAGTAAAACCAGGAGGGCATTCACACCTTCCACTAAAATCGCTACAATTAGTAAAATGCGAGCATGGAAAATCTTTAAGGTGACAATCGAAACATGGCGGGCATTTTGGGTCACGTTCAGGTTCAGTTTGCAGTTCAAGAGGCGAGCGGCGTGGGTGAGAAAGATAAGCGGCTCTCGGAGAAATTAAGGAATTAAAAAGTTTCTCGGTGTCACGACGTGATGGAGTTTTTGCCGAAACGATCTGGATCGATAGGAAAGTTATCCAGAGCAGTATACAGAATATTGAACCATGACATCTTTGGAATGTAAGATACATCACGAGCACCTTTTTAATAATTGAACAAATGTGATACTTGAAATGCTATCAAAAATATTAAGATCAAACACCTCCGAAAAAAAATAATATATACCGTTAATTATTATATATCATAAGACAAACGAACGAACAATTAAGAAAATTTTATTCAAATATAATCTCATTATATACGTAATCAAACGTGAACATGTGATCAAATATTTATGAGTCACGTGGAGATGGAGAACGCCGAATTGTTTCGAGTTCGGCCTTTGGACATTTGGACGAAAAAATTAAATTTACGTACTCAAAATTTTATTTCTAAATGAACATATTCAGAACTATATAAAAAATATATATATAATAATGTATTTTTTTTTTTCAAATTATTTATATAGATATATAGTTATATTTAGACGTTTGGACGGAACAGTCAAAAAAGGCTTTAGATGCCAAAAATATACAACCATGTGTCCAAGTAGTAGATTGTTGCAAGATACCCCAGTAGCACCCGAAAAATGATATCGATATAACTATAAATTAAGAATTGATACATTTTGACTTTCCGGAACTTTTGTAGCTTTGTCCAATAATGGGAACTGATATTTTCACATCATGTCTGATCCTGCTATGTCTCTGCGCTTGCTTTTCTTCAATATCAGGATAAATGCAAAAAAATCATTTAACTGCTATTGCTTGCCTGCTTGCCAAACACTCGGTCTCGTTCAGTTTGCCGGTTTCCCAGATGATAATCTATGCTACCTCTTTACTCAGAGTTATAGCTCTAATCAAACTATTGCTATGTGCAAGGTAAATTTAATGGATATAATACTCATTATATGAACACGTGAAGGACCTGAGCTACCGTATATTGTGAATGAAACAGATGAGACCTTTTCGGTTGTTCATTTTCGGGTCTATTTTTAATAACTTCCGCCAGATTTTCGGTCACAAAATCAGGAGTGGCTTTTATTCTGGGGTTGCATAAATCGGCAATAAACGATGTTTGGCTTTTTTTATCAATGACTCAGATTGTCCTGACAGTTTGTGTACAACACCAAGTTAGAATGTGCTGTTTGAGATTTTTAAACAATTAAATTAAACGAATTCGATATTTTACAATTTAAAATACTTATACATACGTACGTACGTACGTACGTACGTAATGTGCACACCCTCTAAATGCAAGTCTTATTAAAATCCTATCTCAGCTTATAGAAGTATTATACATTTTTGCATACCCTCTCTAACTTATTATGGTTCTAAGAGGGATACAGGAAAGCCATTTTGTCTAAGATTATGACCGATTTTGTAAATTGTGTACCAATCATTAGCTAATTGTGATACTTCACATAATATTGTAGCACCATTACGTATATGTGTAGTACTTGATCCTTAACGTTTGAGTGTGTACGTACTGGTTCGTTAGATATACTGAAATTAGAGCGTGGTTATTGGACGATTTGATTTGATCCTGATCGCGAAGAAAAACTGGTTGTTTTAAGATATGTTTGGTATTACAAAGATCCATACATAGTTATTTTAGTGCATCTTATATGCAATTTATTTTTGTTAAGCTATTTTAATACGTACTGTATATTGTTTTATCGATTGAACACCCACCTTTATGTCAGTACAGTAGACAATTTTTCGTGTAACAATCACAATCTCTAAATGAATACTGTTTAAATGAAATAAATAAATTTGAGAACCAAGTTGGTTACTATGGTTAACTCATATAAACTGCTTAGCTGAATAATACATACCGATACGTAAAAATTCTTCAATCAATTTATTAAATCTATGTTAATAGAAAATATATATTTAATGAATTGTTTTTATCGTTCCTTTTAAAGGAATAGACCATTTTTTTTATATATAAGTTAAAGCGAAAACTGTTTGTTAAACGCTAATTAATGTTAAGGTAGTAAAAAAAAACTTGCTTTATTATTTTAAAGGTTGCTAAGAAGATATAATGTTCATTAACGTAGATTTACGTAGTTGTTTGGAAGCTGACATTTGATTAGATTTTATACGCTTTTTATTACATTATTGCGCGAAAGAAAGAAATAGTATACGTCATAAATTTGTAATTAAATTGTGATATCTTAGTATTGAATGCAATTTGTTTTATGTAATACGTATTGGGCCCAGGGTAGGTAGGTCTGATTCCGGACCCTAATCACTAATCAAGATTTTTTAGATCAGCGTTAATTTAATACGTAGTAAAGACATAGAAAGCAATAACTCTTGAACCAGCAAACCCACACAAATATAATTTATTATTAATAAAAACCAAAAATGTAGCTATTGCATATTGTGTCACAATATGCACAGAAAAATTCAAAGCTACGTTTTCATGTTTTTATTAATAATACATCACAAACGAGAATTTTGACATTATTTTATCCTCCCGCTACGCTTCAGACAAAAAAATAAAAAAAAAGAGCATTGTCACGTTTAAAAACGAACCTGACAAATATAGTTATATTTGTGTGGGTTTTCCGGTTCAAGAGTTATTACAGCCTGGCTTTCTATGTTTTTACTACGTATTAAATTAACGCTGATCTACAGTACACCATAAATGATTGGCTTAGCGAAACACAGGTCTTTAATTATAGCGATTACCAATTCATCTAGGCGGTAAAAAATCCAAAGGTAAAAAATTAAAAAATCAAAAAATAACCAAACCTTGTCTCAGAATCTATTCTAAAATAATAATTTTTGTTAACAAATCAACACCAAATGTATAAAATTTACCAAGTTTTATTAAGTACTTCATTTCTTGCATGAGCTCTACCAGAGTTCTATCAGAGCACCGTAAGTTGAAGTGCAAGAGCACAGGAATAGTCTATATAAAGCGCGATCAATTTTGTAATACGGGTGTTAATTAATTTTTTGGTGTATATAGTAAAGTAGTACTGTACGGCAGTACAAATTTGGACGGACATACGAAAATTATACCAAATTTTGATCGTACGTACG